AGAGAACATTTCAAGTGGATTCTTGAATTTAGTTTTCCTGAAAGTAGTATCTGTGGATACAAACATCAGTAGCAAAGTATAGAAGTGTAGTTGTTTTCCTCTCAATACAGTTCTGAAACTTTTTTCTTTTCTTTTTAACATCGCAGAAGTCTTTCCATGTTGATACATGTAAATTCATCTACTTTTTAAAAATCATGGCATGGATTTCTATTTGATGGACTAAGTTTTCTGTAGTCAGTACTCTGTAGAAGAATATTGAGATGGTTCCCAGTTTTTCACTACTTGACTGTAGCAATAAATATTCTCGTGTAATTGTATATCTGTATGGTGAAATTCCCAGAAGTGGAATTTCTGGGACAAAAGCAGTCATGCTTTTTGGAGAGCAATTAGGCAAAACTTACCTTTCTGTAAGCAGTGGTTAAGAACTGTTTTTCCATATACCCTTGTTTACTGTATCATCAGACTTTTACATTTTTATCAGCTTATTTGGTGAAAAGTGTTATCTTCTTTAAATTTGTATTTTATTAATTTTTAAAAAGTTTATCAGATACTTAGTATTTTTCCCCTAAGGATTATTTTAAGTAGAGTTCCTATCATGCATTTATAGAGTAGTGCTAATTTATAAACATTTGGTTTGTACCTGTCTTAAAGGAATACATTTATTTTATGTGTCATACCTATAATTCTAGGTGGAAACCAATACATTCATTAGGCACTATAGTGTACGTTTTTGTGTGACAACATAAAATACCAACTGTAATATATTTTATCAAATTTGACAATCATATGCGATCTGTCAACAAAAATAATACTGAGTTTGTTGACTTCTGTCATATAAATATCTGAATTAACTTAATATCATTAGCATTGACATTTCTTCTAATTAATGATAACATTTCATATGTCTCATGTAGGTCTTTATATCATGATCTTATAATTCTGGCAAATGACATAGAAGAATTAGGACTTCACGGTTTTGAATTAGACTATTTCATTCACACGTAAAATATTCCAAGCTGTTGACAGTTGCTTCATAGTGATAGGCCTGTCATTTAAAACTTTTTTGTTTTGCATCCTTTGGTGTACAGAGTAAAAAAAAAAAAACAAAAAAACTAAAGCCTCTTTGTTGGGAGAGGCTTGAAATTAGAGTGTTTTTAGAGAAGATTCTGAAGCAGGGAAGTGCTGTTAATTGATAAAAGTTGGATGGAATAATGTTACAGTACACATAAGTTAAAAGCAGCACATTCTCTGAAACGGTTTGTTATAAAGCTGTGTAGCAGGAGATTGTGAATGGGTTTTCTGAGATAATATTGTGAAGTGCTCCTTGGAAAGGTTACCTCTGTCTTTTAGTTTGTGAATTTCTAGATTTCATTTTGTTGTATATTGAAAATAACATATTTGTATGTAGTGAGGTTTATTTTGTTTTTAATTTTAGTCCCCCCTCTTTTTTTTTTGAGACGGAGTCTTGCACTGTCACCTAGGCTGGAACACAGTGGCATGATCTCAGCTCACCACAACCTCCACCTACCAAGCTCAAGTGATTCTCCTTCCTTAGCCTCCTGAATAGCTGGGTTTACAGGCACGTGCCACCATGCCCAGCTAATTTTTTATATTTTTAGTAGAGATGGGGTTTCGCCATTTTGGCCAGGCTGGTCTTGAACTCCTGACCTCGTGATTCTCACACCTCAGCTTCCCAAAGTGCTGGGACTACAGGTGTGAGCCACTGTACCTGGCCTCACCGTTTTTTTTGTTTTTTTTTTTTTAATAGTTTTTTTTTTTTTT